CTCCCTCCACCACTGCCATGTGGCCCCTGGAAGGTTTTGCCACAAAGGAATGTGGCCCTTATTGGCAGATGAAGATGATGGACTTTTCGGAGCTAGCCGACCTGACTGGAAGAGTGCTTGACCAGAAGGAGAAGGACTGCCAGGAAGAATGGATGAAATTTAAAGACTATTTAGTTAAATATGTTAAGTTAAATTAATTGGAGAAGCTTGCAAATAACAGATAGGCTTAGGACATAACTAGGTAATGGGATGAATTAATATGTTTAATACTGAATTGGAAAGGAAAATATAATGATGTTAAGTGATTAAGTTAATTTTATAAGAATAGTGGTTTTGGAAAACCGTTAAAATGATATACACTGAAATTCAACCAGGGGGATACGAGGAAGTCACTTAACAATGTTATTAAGTTTGGTTTAAATACGGTTGAGATTTATGTTTGTTTGTTTATTTGTTTGTTTGTTTAATTTTTTTTGGAAAATCAATAATTTTTTTGAAAAACAACAACAACAAAGGAATGTGGCCCTTGGGCTTAAAATATTCTGCATGTCTTCCGAATGGAGAAGAACAGGACTGGGATAGCTAGAAAGTGGACATTCATGGACATTCAAGGACAGGGCCCCTGCGCTTTCAATAATTATGTGGAAGATGGAATTTTAGCAGAAGATTCAGCTTGCAAGAAAAGCTACCCCTGTTAAAATTTCGTACAGTCATTCACACAGACTTGTCTAAACATGCCTTTCTGATCTGAAGAACAGAACCATAGTTAGAATTAAAAGAGAGCAGCGCCTTTTGGTGTGAGGAGGTGTGACTAAAAATAGCCCGTCGGTGGATAACTCCCATGTGTCCAATGATTTAGTGGGGTTTCTAGGCACTTTCACTGACCGATGAATTAATTGGTGGATTCAATGGTTGGAAGGAGGAAGATGAAATATATGCTACCTGCACCTCCGCTTAAGATCTGTTTCCTTTCTTCTCCCTGCTTTATCTTCCTATGTTAAAAAAACCACAACTTGTAAAATTGCTGGGCTGGCTGAAAAAAGGAACAGCTTCCAGGAAGTGGCAGCAGAAGTCTCATAGATGAGATTAAATGGGTTGCTCACGGCACAACTAGATGTGACACACTGGCAGATCTATGATCAAGATCTCTCACGGTTGTTGTCAATTTTTATTTTTAAAAAATGCATTTTATAGCAGCTGCACTGGGCATCAGGAGAGAACTGGATTAGGCAAGAGAGGGAAGAATTTAGCCCTCTCCCTTCCTGCGTTGCCATTTCTGCCCCAGTTAAAATCCTACCCAAGCCACCTATTTGTCTTGTGTAGGGGAATGGACAAGTACCATATTTTATTCTATATTCAAGAAGCATGGCCCATTTATCAGAGGGTGCCTCTAAAATAAGTGCAGAATAAAATTACAACAGAATAAAAACCACAAAATGCCTCAAACAATATATCCCTTTCTAGAAAATGTGCTCCTCAGATGGAGCGTTGCTGAGAGTACCAGAGGTGCAAATAGCCTATTCTAGAAACCAGGCTTTTAGTGTTACAGCTCCAGCCCCCTGCAATCAGTTACCAGCCAAAATCAGACAGGCACCTAGAATCACAATATTTAAGTGCTTTTGAGGACACTTCTGTTTGGGAAGGCTTTCTTTGAGATGCAACCCAGCTATTTATGGAATATCAGTTTTATATCTGCATAATTTTTTTGTTTCATTTTTAGAATTTGTAAAGATGGTTTTATTGTTTTTAGAGCTTGTTGAATATATTTTATTTTAGAGCTTATGTTTTTTCTGTTTTTATCTTGTTATTTTAATGGATTTATGCTGTGAAACAGTCTAAAAATTTGAATCCTCATCATCAGAGATCAGGTATATTTTCTTTCGCAGGGAAATAGCACAAAGAGGGGAGGTCAAACCTATTTCCTACAGTAAAAATTTAATCCTCCACTCCCCCACGCAGATGCCATTACCATTTAAAATAAATTCAAGAGATTCTATTGATTGATCTCCTTAGTCTTGCCTAAAGACATCCACTCACAGAAATTTCTTTGTACCGAAACCAGAACTAGTCTAGGTTAGCTGTGGAAGTGGCAAGAAATGTGGAGGGAAATACTGTAAAAATAGAATAAGGTAACCTTATTAAAGGTAATACGATTTAATACAGTTAGTTTTAATAAGCTATCCTAATTAAAGGTTAAGAACGCTGTAGAAAAGAAATGTTGTAAATTGCAAAAGCAGTCAGGGATCTTTGTGTCACATATAAATTCTCTCTTAAAGTGGCCACTTTAAAACTAAAATGATTATGAATTTTAGGTTCGAACCCGGAAAGGTGAAAGGTGTCTTCTGCTAATAGAATTTTCCCTGATAAACAACAACCAGAGGCATCTCTGTTACTCTGTTATAGCAAAACAACAAAGAGTCTTGTAACACCTTGAAATTTATGACAGATGCTCCCAGACCCTCCAACTGTCCTTATATCCCAGGGACAATCCATGATTTACAGAAGCCGTCCAGGTTTCTGATTTGATCCCGGAATGTCCCACTTTTTCCTTAGGATGTCCCTATTTTAATCAGATAACTACTGGAGGGTATGGAGTTATGCGACCCTCAAGCCAAGGAAATAAGTAACTGTACAACCTTTAGAAGACCTTTGAAGGCAGTCCTGTGTAGGAAAGTTTTCATTATGTTTTTATATATGTTGGAAGCTGCCCAGAGTAGCTGGGGCAACCCAGTCAGATGGGTGGGGTTTTATTAATATTGTTATTGTTATTGCTATTATTGAATAGGACATTCCTATTTTCATCTGAGAAAAGTTGGAGGAGATGTGCTTTTATGGACTAGAGCACCACACACTTCTGATAAAATGGACTCTAGAACCTGACACCTGGTCGTCTGTGTCCAATAAAGGCTTTCAAAGTACCACCTTGTGCCTTTCTGGGGAGAAAGGGCAATGATAATACAAACCAGTACAAGAGAACAGCAACCATAGGACAGCGAAGTCAGAAAGAACTAAATGAAAATGTTCTGGTGGCACAAATGGACATAAACAGGTGTGAAACCTGAGTCAACAGTTATTGCATAAACTTCTGTAAGAGTTAACAAAGTTTGGCCATTTTCCAGTGTTGACAACTGACCATTATGTGGTGGTGGTGGTGGTTAGAGCTCTTATACCCCTCTCTTCATCCAAAAAAGCCCCTACAGTGTTTTATACACAATCAGTTAAAACAAGATAGCCTTCAAGCAATTAAGCTGGGTTTTGAAGGGGCAGAGGAACCAGAGACCAAATTGCAAGCATACGCTGAATTATGGAGAAAGCTAGAGAGTTCCAGAAAAACATCTACTTCTGCTTCATTGACTACACAAAAGCATTTGATTGTGTCGGCCACAGCAAACTATGGCAAGTTCTTAAAGAAATGGGAGTGCCTGATCACCTCATCTGTCTCCTGAGAAATCTCTGTGTGGGACAAGAAGCTACAGTTAGAAGTGGATATGGAACAACTGACTGGTTCAAAATTGGGAAAGGAGTACGGCAAGGCTGTATATTGTCTCCCTGCTTATTTAACTTATATGCAGAATTCATCATGCGAAAAGCTGGGCTGGATGAATACCAAGCCAGAATTAAAATTGCCGGAAGAAATATCAACAACTTCAGATATGCAGATGGCACAAACTTGATGGCAGAAAGTGAGGAGGAATTAAAGAACCTTTTAATGAGGGTGAAATAGGAGAGCGCAAAATATGGTCTGAAGCTCAACATCAAAAAAACTAAGATCATGGCCACTGGTCCCATCACCTCCTGGCAAATAGAAGGGGAAGAAATGGAGGCAGTGAGAGATTTTATTTTCTTGGGTTCCATGATCAACACAGATGGTGACAGCAGTAACAAAATTAAAAGATTAAGTTAATTTTATGAGAAAATTGGTTTTGGAAAACTGTTACAATGATATACACTGAAATTCAGCCAGGGGGATTTGAGGAAGTCACTTAACAATGTTACTAAGATTGGATCAAGTACAGTTAATATGTATGTTTGTTTGTTTACAAATTTTGGAAAACCAATTAAAAAAAAAATGGGGAAAAAATTAAAAGACGCCTGCTTCTTGGGAGAAAAGCAGTGACAAACCTAGACAGCATCTTAAAAAGCAGAGACATCACCTTGCCAACAAAGGTCTGTATAGTTAAAGCCATGGTTTTCCCAGTAGTGATGTATGGAAGTGAGAGCTGGACCATAAAGAAGGCTGATCGCCAAAGAATTGATGCTTTTGAATTATGGTGCTGGAGGAGACTCTTGAGAGTCCCATGGACTGCAAGAAGATCAAACCTATCCATTCTGGAGGAAATCAGCCCTGAGTGCTCACTGGAAGGGCAGATCGTGAAGCTGAGACTCCAATACTTTGGCCACCTCATGAGAAGAGAAGACTCCCTGGAAAAGACCCTCATGTATATATATATATACCCATGACAACACACAAGGGGAAATGGACATGGAGGGAAGACGGGGGAAATCAAATCAAATTCGGGCACCAATTCTTAAACCATTGTTCTTATCATGACCAGCTGCAACAGTTCAGGGGTAGGAGGTGCATGAGGGAACTGGACTTTTGACAAAGCTGATGGAATGGACCCTGTTTCCTATCTCTCCCATTGAGGCAGTCTGATGGAGTCGTTGCTCCCAGGTATCAGGTGAGAGAGAGGTGTTCTCATAGAGCTGGCCTAGCAATAGTAAGGGATATCAATCCTCATAAAGCCAACATGCTTAACTTTATTGAATGCATGAAGGGGTTAAGACATAAAGTATGCCAGGCATAGGCAAACTCCAGCCCACCAGGTGTTTGGGACTACAATTCCCATCATCCCTAGTTAACAGGACCAGTGGTCAGGGATGATGGGAATTGTAGTCCCAAAAATCTGGCAGGCCAGAGTTTGCCAATGCCTGGAGTATGCTGTCCTGCCAGGCTTAGCTAGGTCACTCCTCCTCACCTTAGGAAGAAGGGTTACTAAACCCTTCCTGGGATAGCTCAGATGGTAGAGCATGAGACTCTTAATCTCAGGGTTGTGGGTTTGAGCCCCACGTTGGGCAAAAGATTCCTACATTGCAGGGGGTTGGATGAGATAACCCTCATGGTCCCTTCCAACTCTACCAGCACCAATATAAATCTTTCACCTTTCCATCTCTACAATTCTGATTCTACCATGTGAACCCTACCAGCAAAGAGATCTAAACTTGATGCTCCAAGCTTAGACACTGTGGTTTAAGCAAACCATCTTTGTGTTTCTACACAAATAATTTAGAACCATTTACCACTTTTGGAACCCAAGTTACAGTTTTGTCTGTCTGTCTTGATGCTGTATGGGAAATCACATGAATCTGATCTTTGAAGAGTTTGTAAGTAAGTAATTTGCCAAACGTGTGGTCTTTTCCATGCTACTGGAAATGGGGAAATTGGAAGGGGGGGGGATTTTCAAAGGTCTAACAGCCTATATATCTATGCTTTCCTTTTCTGCATGTTTTGTGATCTTAAATCTCTGCTGGGGCTCTCTCATCAAAGAGTCCCTGCCCCAAACCTGTATCTAGGCATCCAGGGAATTTTCCTTTTTATTATACCCTATCTATTTGTCTTTCCCAGCTAACAAATAGCAGAGCTGATGGAGTGAGCCCTGCTTCCCATCTCTCTCACTGGCAGAACGGCTGCTCCCAGGTGGCAGTTAAGAGAGCGGAGGCCTGCTGGTGCTGGCCTGAGATTAAAAAAAGGAAGCAGCCAAGATTCACAGTGTGCTTATCCAGGGCTATCACCAAAGGAGGCTTCTGTTATTGATATTCTCCTTTAGACAACCCGCAGCGCTTGTAGTGCTTCCCTTTTCTGGTTCTTTAAAATGAAAGGGATTTATTTTATTTTATTTGCTACTCCCACAACTCTCCAGTGATTAACAACCTAATATTTTCTTCTGTGGCTTTGAAGCGGAAGAGTTCTTCGTTTTTAAAGGAGAAATTGCCAACCTTCTGACAACTAGTATTTAAGTGGAGGCTGCATTGCTCAGTCATCTTGAAAACAAATTCCGTTCGGTCTCAGTTTATTTGTTTCAGCCATTAGCCATAACAAAGTCTACACACCGTGTGCAGCCATTTAAACAATTTACAAAGTAAAAGGGTCTGGTATGTAGTCCAAAATACGAGAATGAACAAAGTCTGCAGGAGTTTGGCCAGAAAGGCTGCTCTCTGAGTCATTCTCTATAACATTTGCTATCTTCTCTAGCCTGGTGGTTTCCAGATGTTTTGGAATGAAACTCCCATAAGCTCCAGCCATTGTGGCCAATGGTCAGCTGTCAATGGGACTTGTAGTCCAAAATCCCTAAAGGGCATCGGATTGTGGAAGGCAGTTCTATATTCTCCTTGGGACTAATGTCTATGATTTATTTATTTTTCTATTTTTCAAAAAAACCACACCTTATCTAGTGAGACAGAGGGCAGACAACATTGCCACATGTCCTCATCATGACTGTTTCCATGGACATGAAACAATAAATTACATTTTGGTTTGTACCTTCTAGTACTGAAGCAGTTATTAACTGAAATTTAAGTATGGTGAAATTTATCAATTTTGATCAAGTAATTTTTCCACCAAAGAGCCATCTTGACTCTGTTCAAGGATATTAAACCTTTTCAGGGCTAGTTTTAGATTCCCAACAAGCAGCTGTCTTTATGAAATAATAAACTATAGGGAAACCAGATGAGTGCATTATGTGAACAATGTTCTGAAGCCTTGTTAGATGTTGCAGAGTGAATTTGCTCAACAAGACATAATTTGGAGAGCTTCTCTTGGGAAAACATTGACTAGAGTAAGCCAGCAATTGAAAACTGAAATGTCTCCTCATTGCAACTGAGTGCTCATGCTTCTGTTATAAAATGATTGTCTGGTCTGTCTTCAGTTTAGAAGTGCTGGTATGTGTCCTTCAACTCAGAGAGCTAGAAAACAACCATCTCAAATATCAGTAGTTCTGAACCTATTTAACTTTATGTGAGTCAAAATGCCAAACAAGAAGTTTCTCTTTATAGCTGAAAATTAGCGCATTGGCTTTCTCATCGTAATCAATCTTCAAAGTTCTGCTCGTGATATAGTCATAAGGCCACAAATAACATCCTCAAGCCAACTTTGGAGCACCATATTATTTGTGGTAGAAGCAGAGAAAGCTTACTATCCCTGAATGTCATGGAAACAACTCATCACCACTTAACCCCAAGACAATATAATTAAGCAAAAAAAGTTAAGAAGAAAGGGAGGTGGTGCAGAGGCGACTTTGACACTCTGGGTAACTGGTATTCTATCAGGTAAAGAAACTGTCCCTGAGAGCTTAGTCATTGATAAGGTTCCAGTATAAAAGCACTGCATGGTTTGGACAAACCAATCGGCAACAGGGAAGACATTCTAGAAGACTGCAGCATCCACAACGACACCAGTGTTCATTTATCCCAAATTGTAAATGAACAAATGGAATCCCTTTGAAAATCCCCCCATAAAAGTTATAGTCATGGTGGTTATGGACATGCCAGCCATTCTTTTTCAGATCTCTATTGGGTTAAGCCTATACTTGGATTTCTAGGTTGTATCTGTAATTCCCTAGAATCATATTGGCAAAGGGCTTATAAGACTGCTCACGCCCTGAATGGCTTGTGATAGGAATTAACTGAAAAATAATGTAGGGTACATACACATTTTATCCTGTTTCCTTCATTTACAGGCTGCAGAGAGCCTGGAGCTTTTTATTTTTGTGCTCCAGGAGGTAAAAGGTTCTCTGTCCAGAAAATACCTACAAGATAAGACCATTATTCTTTAGACAGTATTACAGGGGAAGAAATAAAAAAAAACAAGGTTAGACAGGCCACATCATTTTTAAAATGGCATTATGGACTTTTTCTAGTTGTTCTGTTTCTGCCTTGGAAAATGATAGATGTTCCTGGTTTCTCAGCCTTTCCTCCAAAAGCTATTTTGAAATGCAAACCACTTGGACAATGCACACATTGGAATGAAGCTGCCGGTTGCTGAGAAAGTGCTTAACTGCCTCTTCAAATAAATGGGCTTTAAAAGTATTTAATGTTGGCTGGATTGCAAACCAGGTAATTTTGAAATAAAAGTTCTTGCCTATTCAGCACCTTATTTGATACAATGGAGTGTGACATCACAGACTGAAAACCGTAGGTGGTTGTAAACAAGGACAAAGTTTCCATATGCTACAGCTGTGGCAAACTCATTACTCATCCCGGGACATAACAAATATATGCTGTCCTCCATCATTTTCCAAAGGCCAGCTGGATGGTTAAGCCACATGGTTTCCTATGAGCTTGTGAAGCCAAGTCATCCGTGTACGACATCACTTTTTCTTTTGCACAAAGTGAAAGCGATGTATTTAATTTCCAGGGATGCTTTTTCAAGCAATGATAGACTCCCATCACCTCCTGGCAAATAGAAGCGGAAGAAATGGAGGCAGTGAGAGATTTTACTTTCCTGGGCTCCATGATCACTGCAGATGGTGACAGCAGTCACGAAATTAAAAGACGCCTGCTCCTTGGGAGAAAGGCAATGGCAAACCTAGACAGTATCTTAAAAAGCAGAGACATCACCTTGCCAGCAAAGGTCCGTATAGTTAAAGCCATGGTTTTCCCAGTAGTGATGTATGGAAGTGAGAGCTGGACCATAAAGAAGGCTGATCGCCGAAGAATTGATGCTTTTGAATTATGGTGCTAGAGGAGACTCTTGAGAGTCCCATGGACTGCAAGAAGATCAAACGTATCCATTCTTAAGGAAATCAGCCCTGAGTGCTCACTGGAAGGACAGATCCTGAAGCTGAGGCTCCAGTACTTTGGCCACCTCATGAGAAGAGAAGACTCCCTGGAAAAGACCCTCATGTTGGGAAAGATGGAGGGCACAAGGAGAAGGGGACAACAGAGGACAAGATGGTTGGATAGTGTTCTTGAAGCTACCAGCATGAGTCTGACCAAACTGTGGGAGGCAGTGGAAGACAGAAGTGCCTGGTGTGCTCTGGTCCATGGGGTCACGAAGAATCAGACACGACTAAACGACTAAACAACAAAACAACAAAGAATCATATAATTGTAGACCCATCTTATTAAGTTGTGGGTGGACATAGCAGTCGACACAGAGATTTCTCCAAGTGGTTTTTTATAGCAAGCTGGAACTGAATTGAACTGAACAGCTCAGCCAGCCTGCTTTTATAGGCAGCCAGCTGTCAACATTGTAACAACAACCACCCAGGGTTTCCTGCCTAAATTAACTTACGTGGACCTGAGTGAAAACGATATGCACAATACCCCTGGTGGCCAGGGTCAGAACTTCAATACATAACACATATAGTCCAGTCCCCTGCAATCCAGGAATGTTTTGCCCAACATGGGGCTTGAACCCCTGGGCAGAGGCAGAGGAAGGGGTTGCACACTGAGGGGGGTGACATTCAGGTGCACCGCCTGCCCACGACTCCCAAGCCTACCCCAGGCCATCGGGGGAAGGAGCGGAACTGCGCCACCTTGCCGGCAGCCTTCCCCCCTTCCTGCTTCATTTTGACAGCTCGGGGGAGGCTTGGGAGTCGCGGACGGGTGTTGTGCCATTGTCCCCCACTCCTGGGCTGCTGCCTGGGGGGGGGCCTCCCCTGAGCTGTCAAAAGAAGAGGGAAGGGAGGAAGGCTGCTGGCAAAATGGTGGGGCTCCCTCTCTCCCCCACCCTCCCCCACCATGGGCAGCTCACTCCGCCCCCATGGGCAGCTCACTGTGGGCAGCACCCCCTGGAACGCTGGCCCTGCCCCCTGGGATGCTGGCCCTGCCCCCATGGTCCTGCCCCCGGATGCCAGAGCAGCTAGCTCCGCCTCTGCCCCTGTGATTAAGTCTCATGCTCTAATTAATATTCTTGTCTAGCTTCCCACTGGTGTATCCTCTAAGCCTCCCATGTCAAATGACAGTTCCCCAGAGATTGCCTTCACATGGTGAACAAGTCTTCAGAATTCCCAAAGATGAGGCACATGCACCTTTGCAATATATGTGTAATTGCTGTGTTGACACTGTGTGCCAGCCGA